TGAAATTGTTGAAATTGTACTGGAAGTTATTAGGGTCGGTGACATAGTGAAGGTGCCGGATGAGAAGAAAGGCATAGAGAAGTATAAGTGCTAAGGGAGAGCGAGGCAACGACTAGTTTGTTTTTCTATAGGATCGGTTAAGATCATTGGTTTGGTGAATGAATGACTAACTGACTGATTGAGTGGCTGAGTGAACGGAACGAATGAGTGAATGAATGGGTGAATGAACGAATGAATGAGTGAGTGGATGGATGAATGATGGTGGTGACAATGATGGACAAAATAGGTTTTTTTGCTGCTTTTCCTCATCTCAAAATAACCTAATGAGCATCAGAATATTATTATCAACAAATGTTCCAACACTGCTTTGTTTCAGCTTTACTACTGATGATCTTTGCTGAGAAGAACAATGCTGGTTTATGTTTTCTACTTCTATACGCTCTTTGCAATTAAACCGTTTCGATCTATGACGATTTAAATGTTCAAATCTATTCTTGCAAATTAAATTTAAAAATTTTTTTTCAGGTTTACTACTGTTGTTAGCCTGATCTGCTTATACGATTTTTATTTGATGCTTTTATTGCTGCTTTTGCTGCTACTGCTGTCAACATTTTGCGATATAACTGAAAAGTCGTTGGCTTTCTTTATACTGAAAGGACGAACAACTATAACTGTACAATAGAAATCTTTTGTTTTACTACCAATACTGTTCTCTATTCTATATTTGTGTTTTATCTGAGCTTTTTTTTTTGATATAAACTTTAGCCACATTCTTTTTTTTTCTTTTGTCGTTATTATCGTTTTACTGATGAATACATATATCTTCAGTAGGATTTAGTTAGGTGTATCAATATCTGTTGTCAGTGATACCATCTGTTCTCGAATTGCTGACAGCCGTCTCAGATGATCGTAGTATTGAACTCAAGTGTCTTCACTGTTAATATCGGTCACTCGCTCAACAGAACGTCCTTTATTGTTCTTCTTTTTGTATCCTCCTGAACTGAATTGCATCTGTTCCTACCACTTCCTACTACAATTAAAAAAGAAGAAAAAAAAACCAAATTTTTTCCACATATTTTATTTGCACAATTTTTCATCTTGCGTCTCTTTCTGTTTTGCAAGTCAACAACAACAGCATTAACAAATTGGTGCACTTTTCCATTTCAATGATGCTTATTCCACTTGTAGCAGAAAATAAAATTTAGCGTAATCGGTATAAGGGCAGCCGAAATATTTGTTGTATAGTTGATGAGAGATTTTAACTGAACCGTACTGACGATTTTGGTTAAGCTTTTTTGGCAATATATTGTACGTTCAACGTTTACTTTCTTTTTTTTTTCTCTTCTTTAGAGGAGGTAGGAGAGGATCTATCGGTTGAATACTCAACTTTTTTATTTGAAGGTTATCTTCAAAAAGGTGTATAAAAAAATGCAACAACAGTATTCTGCGGGGATTGAAAAAAGACCCGAAAAAACCTTGAAAATAACGGATGGTGAAAGTGGAACTGATGCCAGTATGGAAACGAAACAATTGATGTATAAATAATGATTATTTAACCTAAAAAACAACTGCTGCTTTTAGAACTCAAAAGAAAACTTCTTTTGTGCATTATATATATATATATATATATATATATATATATATATATACGTATATATATATATATATATATATATATATATATATATATAGGCAAAAATGCTAACTCAAGGCGGATACTGGATAAGACTGTTTTGACATCGTAATGTGTGTTTAAGATTCACTTTTCGTATTTTGAAAAAAATTGCATTGCTTACATTTTTCGATTTGTGATTTTTTTTTTTTTT